TCAATATAAGTATATTATTCATTTTATTAAATACTACAAGTCTAATATTTTCCGAACATAATAAATTAGACATACTATGACTTGTTTATAAAAAAGCATTTTTGCTAAAAACTTTCAAATTTCTAGATATTTATTGGTAAAAATATTGATTGTAGGTATGTCACATCGATTCTCTGTTTCACTTATTATTGAAAAATATTTTTTCGCTGAAATGATCAAAAATTTTCTGAATATGAATTTATAAAAAATATACTATATATAAGTACGTCTCTAAAAATAAATTATTACGATTTTTTAAAATGCTTTTTTTATATGCTGGTCTTTTTTCTTTCTCTATCTCTATCACCAAAGCTAAAGTACATATTTGTTTCGTTTTATATACGAACCATAAAAAGAGTTTGTCTTTAAACAAAACAAATCGCTTATACCTGTCACTTTTATTGCGGACGGATTATATAGTTTAGCCAAAAAGAAGATTTGAGCGCGCGCGCGTTATTGACCGACATCGTTTCGAGAGCGTCAGAGAGCGATGGCACGAGCTTAGGATCTTCTTGTACATCCTAGCGTCGGACATAGTCCTCGTGCCGATCACCGTCACCCGCAAGCTCGTCGGGCCGATCCCTGACCGCGACAGCGTCGATCGATATATCGGGAATGGCAGCCACGACAGGGCCGCGCGTCACGCTACGCGTATACGCGACGATATACGCGGGGCCTGTGTGGCACCCACCTTGGCGATTCGATTGCCAGTCCTATCGCGCGTCGTATCGAGAGACCTGGTTACCGATGTAAACGGCGACGCGCATCGCGGGTCGACGCAGCCGACGCAGGCCCTCGAGCTGCATGGAGCGTCGCGAGCGCCGCGTCGCACGCGCCAGTGGAAGTGGTCGAATCAACGACTGGTCAGACATAGCGTCTACTCACGGCTGACACGCTTCACTTCGATCATCGTAGGGACTCTTATAGTCAGATCCAAAACTTTTCGCTATAACGTTACGCAACGTTAATACGTAACATATTTTTACCACCACGTTTAAAGAAGGTAGATAGACTTTTCATATGAAAAAATAATAGGGCGAGTATCACGTCGTATTTTTTTTTTAGAAATGGCACTTTCTTTCGTTTAGATGTAAATTTACTGTTCCTCAACATTTTTTGTCGGATGTCTAAGTACTAAAATCCAATGTTTAACGTCGATATAAATAGCTAAGCTAAAAAAAACAACAGCCCCATTGTTGCTGACAAGATTAAATAGCCAGATTGCGTGATTGACGGAGATTTAACATTGCTTGGAAATTCTATTCTAGACAATTTCTCTTCTCCAACCAGAGGCCACTAATAGATTCGCCTATATTCTTACTGACATCGAATGCCAAACTCGTGGATTTGCGCTCCTTTAAATGTATTATGGATATATCATTACTCCCACATTACGTGTCAACGATTATCTCATTAATATGTATCATTATAATGTACGCCCCCGTATGCCTCTATAGCTTGCTTACTTGTGCTATATTTACGGTAGCTACGCCCGTGGTCCTACGGAATGTCAAACAGTCCATCGTGTGTAACGTCGCTGATACTAGACGTCTCATTAGATATTCTTAGACTTTGAACATTATCGATAACTCGTATTACATGATATAAGTCATTTGGTTTCTGAACAATAGGACAAAACAGTCGCCACGATAATTGAGCAAAACGGAAAAATGCCGTTTTGTATTTTTATAAAAATTTCTTCATAAAATTCCGAAATCCGTTTTCCGAAAGCTTGCCACGTATTTCAACGTATTTCTTGATATCAGATATCACAAATTAGTCTCACATTAAGTATTCGTCTCGAGATGGACAACTCGCACGATCTGATTGAAGGAAAGCAGCACGTTTCCAAACGGTAGGATACTCAAGTGGAAAAACATATGAACAGATCAGACTTTCTCACGTTATCTGTAACAAACTTTTTTAATTGAATAGGATTCGACAAATGCGATATCCTCAAATTTTGCTCGATACTCCGCGAACTTTGGCAAACGGAATGAGATAGCACGAGTCACTTTGACGATTCGTAGACCGAGTTACGTGGAGGCGAACTAACTTAAATAACTCCGAAACTGAAAGATGAACGAGAGACGTTCGGGAGATGTTTAAGAAAGAACAAGACGACTTTCGGACGCTCCTGTTGTTGTTTAGATGGAGAATGGAGACAACACACATGTACACTCGAGTTGACACTTACGGTTGAGGAGGTCGAACACTCTCCAGCGTAGATAGTCACCGCTGCGAACGTAAAAGAGAAGCGCAACGTAGCGATATGGAGAGAAGAGAGGCACTGCGACGTCGAGCGGAGAAAGAGGGAGGGCGCGGGGGCGGGGGCGGGTTCTGGGATACCTCCGCGGGCCTTGCTCGAGATGTAAAGGTAGCGCAAACCGAGCACCGTAAGGCGACACACTAAGATTACACTTTCACACCAACGATGCAGAAGAAGAACGACCGACGAGACGTGTGTGTGATGACGCTAAAAATTCTGCCTCGCGCGCGATGTCCCTCCACCTGCGCGCGTAGACGCGTGCCGCCGTGTGTACGCGCGTGTACGATCCCTCTCCGTTCTTTCCTCTTCTGTTACGCTACGAATTTCTTTTCCCTCTTTTTCCTTCGGCCCTCGGGTGACGATGGCGGACCGCGATACGAGGCGCTCTTCAAGTGATTTCCCTTCTCTCTTCCTTCGTCTTCGTTTCTATCCTCCTTCACTGTCAACACTTATTCCTTCTCGTATTCTTCTTCTTCTGCTTCTTCCTTCTTCTCCTCTATTCTTCACCGCAGCGGCAAGGACCCGCCCCGTGTCGCGCTACACGAACGTGTAGTGGATGAAGAGAGCGTAAAACTTGCTCTGCGACAACATTATCCGGCCGGTTATCGGTACCTCGGTTTCCTCGTCATTTCGTCTCGCGTCCGTCCTACGGTCTAAGCCGCCCGCGCGCCGCAACGAAAATTGATCGCGTTGCGCGCGACGGTCCCTTCCTCGGGGGACAGGCCCGTCGACCGTCGACGCGTCCGTGTCCGGCCGCCGCGTCGCCCGTGTTGACGCGGGGCTACTCTCCTTAGCACACACGGGTCCGTTCGCACTACGTCCGCTATCACTTTTCGCGCCGCCGTTCTCTCGCGCTGCGCCACCCTTAGCTCCGGTCCTAAGCCGTGGAACCGCGCGCGACGGCTCTTTCTTTTCCACTCCCTTTGTTCTTCACTAGATTCTCACCGCCGCACGTTCGTGCACATACACGTACACGCGCAACACACACACACACACGCTCCACGCGTGCGCGCGCGCGCACGCGCGTGCATACGCCTCACGGACACGCGGCACAAGCACACGCGCGCTAACACACGCGAAATCGGACGCGGCCAAACGCACGCGCGCGCGCACGAACGATCGTTCTCTTTATCCCCCTCGTTTCAACTCTCCCTCGATGGCCGTGTTTCCTTCTCTCTCGAAGCTATGTCCTCCTTCGTTACCTTTACCACCACCACCACCACCAACTACCACCTACCACCACCGCTCACTCTCGCCCACTCTTTCCTCCCCTTCTATTTTTCTCCGTCTCTCTCTTTCGACCCTCCTTCACCCTCTGCCTCGCACCGTCACCGCTGGAGTTGTCCCTGCACCTCCTCGGCGTGTCCGACGTTCGACGTCTCACCCTCGGAGCAACGCGGCCGCGGCCGGCACGAAGGGTCGCTCTCTGACAACGCCAGGCCCGAGACCTTCGCTCTCGACGAGTTCACCCCTCGAACTCTCTCGCGCGGTACTTCGTACCCCCGGGTTTCCTCTACGCTGTGCGTACTTCGTGCCGCGAAAGCGACTTCTCCTCGGTGCCGACTGTCGCGATCAGTCGAGTCGACGCGAACCGTTACCGTTACTGCATCGCCACGCGCCAGTCTTCCGCGCAGCGGACTCCGCGCCCTCCGCGGAAACTAGTCACGGGGCACCCGCACCCCGCTCCACGCCCGCTATATACCTCATTCGCGATCTGCTACCAATCCCCCGCCACTCCGTCGACCACCTTGCGCCCTGTAAAGCCGAGATTCCAAGCCCGCGCCGAGAGTCGAGACCGACGGCGCGACAATCCCCCCGAGGACGATTCGAACTGGCTCCGACTGGCTGGCGGGTGACCGAGGTGACGTTGCGACTTGCGACCACCACCGGTCGCTACCGCCGCGAACGGAATCGTCGCGAGCGTGCGGGTACAGCACCCTCTTTCTTTTCTTTCTTTTTTCCTTTCCTTTCGAGAACGCAAGCCTTTCCCAAAAGGGTGGCGAAACGACGGTACCACCGAGGGCACCGAGACGGCACGGGGCGAGATCAATGCTCCGTTCAGGGCTCGTAAGTGCTTGCGTGGTGCGCTTCCGTAGCACGGGGTGGATCAATGAAAACGTACCCCTCCACCTCGGTGTCGTGGACGTGGCCCCGCGCCACCCTTTGCCGTTCCGCGACGGAGGGAAACGCGGTACCATACCGCGCCACTCTTTTACTACCACTGCCTGAAAACATTCACCCGCACCATCTACGACTATACCCGCGAGCTTCGGTAAGCTCGTCCGCGAGGTTTATCACCGCGTTGCGGACACGCCGCGCCGCGCATCTTCGTTGGTCCGACGCGAACGCATCGAATTCTCGTTTGTACGCGATTAGTTTTCCCAACTACTTGAAATACAGCGAAATCGCTTCGCCCTCAAGTCTATTCTCGATTTTACAAGTAAAATGTAAGATATAAGCTTAAACACGGAGCATGTATTGACACATATAAAAATAAAAGATTAATGAGAAGTGAGAGAATAATGGAAAGATGATGAATTAATATTAAAAATTAAAATCTGAATGAAGATAAATGCATAGTTTTCATATATTTGCGAAAATGTAAAAATATGTGAATACACAGAAAATATAGCGAGATATATCATCATAGTACAGGGAACGAATATCATGAAGAAAACTATACAAAACGTAGTACAACTTATCGTAGAGTATATTTCGTAAATCGTGCATACAATCAGCGTTCAATTGTAAATTGCCTAGAAAAGTTCAATCATTCGTTGCACAAATTAACATGTCGTTCTCTCATAACATATTTAGAGAAAAGTGTGATTGCTTTTATTTATTTATTTTTTTATTTAGTGTCAACAAACAACATATCCTCATAAAACATTAAAACAGAACTAGAGGACTATATGCTAAAGCGCTAAGCGTTAAATACGTTATGAGAGAACGAATTATCACTCACGCTTATCACACTATCAGATCCGAGCTAATAGTTGTTCGTGTAAAAATATATGTGTTGTATATAAATATAGGAATATCTCTTTGTGAAGAATAGGTTGTGTAGTTGCGATGCACCTAAACGTACACGCGACATACGAAGAAACCACATGGCACACGAGCGACGAGCTCATCGACTTAAATAAACATTGCCATGCTGTTTCGGCATTCTGCGAATACAGAGATACAGGCCAGTGATGATCATAATGAGCAAAGGAAGGCCAATGCCGATTGAAATAATCATAATGACTAGATAAGAGAACCTCTCCTCGGGTGGTGTGCCGTATCCGATCATGAAAGTCCTGCAAAACGTAACATTTAGTTAATTAAAGACATTAGGGAATTAGATTCTATGATTCGTCATGAAATTTTCAAAATAAGATTCGGTAACTGACGACTCACCACGTCAAATAGCTCGTCCTCTTGTAGAAACCGTCTCCTTTCGAGCCCAAAGAAACTACTAACTTCTGCAGTAGAAGATCGTCCACAGTTTCTCCATAGTAACAATAGAGCATCGAATTTTTAATGGCGCTCGTATGATTGAACACTTGTTTCGGTGGATATTGCATCGTCTCCGTGGAACTGGTTACGTCGCGCGATGCGCTGTTGTACGACACCGGCCGCCATTGTAAATACGAGCCGGCGTTTAACGCATCCATCACTTCTCTGTAGGGAGGCGTTCTAACTTCAACAACCTAAAGAAAACCATGAGACGAAAGGTTAAGATGATATTATCAATCAAAATATGAAAGCAGAGAGATTGCCGGAAGCAATAAATGGCTGCGATTGTTACCTCGAATATGCCCGGAGTGTGCTCGTCGTCCAGACTCTTTTTCGGATCAACGAACAACGGTATCTCGGGATCGCCACCGCCAACCGCGAGCAATTCAATAGCGAACCTGCTGTTGGAAAAGGTTCGGTTGGTCTCAATGTGGTCGAGGATGATGTCCACTTGCGTAGAGTTCTCCGTGTGCAACATGTGCGGCACCATATCCGAGTGGTCGATGGTGCAGAATCCTCGGAGCTGACAAGCGAACGAGAGAGATTTAAAACGTGTTAGATACAAACGGGGTACAACAGGGGGACTAAAGAAGCCAGATATATATAATATATGTGTGTGTGCTCAGTGATGTTCAGGCTCAAGATGAAGCTAGTTCTCGCTTAACCGAGCCGTTGAGATTATTTTCGCATGCGTCGCTACGTACTACCGATACTTTCTCTTCAATGCTGCAAAATACTTTACCGAAAGCTTTATACTCCCGTATCTGCTGATATTCTTAGCTGTATCGTGATAAGAGTTACCCTCCATATCCAGGTAGACGAATTCGCTCTTTTGCGATAGGGACACGCGCCGCCAGTTGAAATACTCGGTGCGTAAAACGTTCGTATTAGTGACGTCGGCAGTATTAATCAGTGCCGTGTCATTTACGTCGTTGAATTCGATAATCTGTAACACGTAATGTACTTGATATTATTCAACGCGATATAGGCATGCAAACGCTGAGAAATCATAACAGATGACGAAATCGGGTCGCCCGACGGTATACAGCTGCGCGATTAAACCTACATCAATACAAATCGCAATTTCTCCCGCGTAATTGCACATTAGCGCGCAATAAAATTAACTGAATTAAACCGCAATCTCGTCGACACTGACGTGTCGTGCCCGAAATTCCTGTCAGATGCAGTCGATCGATATGTGGCGCGGAAATCTGTTTGTCCATTGCTGCGAACAATTCCATAGCTTTGTACGTGACCATTAATTCAACCGAACAAGACGAACTAACCGTCAATCGTCAATTACGCGCTTTACAAAGGATTAATCCCGCGAATGTTGCATAGTGTTTATTGAATGAGAAATTTATTCTGATGACGCAAGAATATAAATTATTAGTTTACATGAAATATTATTTTGCTGAGATATGCTTGAACACGGCGAAATTGTGACGAAGATATGTGATGCGCATTCTCATCTCGGGGAGAAGAGAGGCTTGAACACTCGGCTTGAAGAGAGGCTCTACGAAATGAAGACATTGTCGAGTGCGAAGATTTAATTAAGAAACCGCGGATGTATCCTTCACACTGGGCAAGGGAATGTGACGAGTGAATTTGTGTCACTCGCTCGGATTTACGTCCACGTTTGGCGGAAGTAAATCAGAGTGATAATCAGAGTAATGTATTTTAAGTATCGTAACATTTTTAAGGCATTATTTTTATATTCTTATATCTATGTTGTTGCATTTTTACATTTTTGTTACATTCGACTCGTGCATCTCTCAGCAAAATTAAAATCGACCACTCGCCTATATGATAATTTATTTAACACGAATCTCGAAAGATAACATAATTAGTAATTTCGATCAAAACTTAGCGACGAAAGATAATTGTCTTAATTCTATTCGCCTTTTGATACGTTTTATTTGTCCCATCGACAAAATAAGTAAGATTTGGTCGACTGTTCGTTTAACAAATCTTAAACAAATAACTCACGATTGACTTAGCCGTTAAAAGGACCTTCGGGAGGGTTACCTTGTTTATTATTATCCCGAAAGAGTAGGCGGGCTTCTCCGAGAAGCTGAGCGAGTTCCCCCTTCTGGCGAGATAATCATCCCAGGTGATGTTGAGCCAGGCGGACGGCGGCGTGAGCGCCAACAGCACGGACGGGGTCCCGACGAAATCCCACAGGTAATGCAACGTGTCGTTCGGGCCATCGGCTCTCAGGTAGAGCGTCGTCACGTTTCGCTCGCGGCACTGCTCGTCGCAGCCCGGGTTCACCCACGACCGCAGCTAAGGCAGGATAAAGCGGGCGTTTTATGCAACGTTGTAGATTAAACGACGTCGTATTAACGGACGGATGGCCTAGATCAGTGCCGGATTGTGCGACCGGCGGCCTTGCCGTTCCTACGAGAGAGTCCCCCGTGCGATTATTATCGCACAAAACGGCGTTGCACCGTTACGCTAACGCGCGGCGTGCGGGCTCGTATATCTCGTATCTGCCGTATCTGCGAACCGTGAAGTGACGAAAGTTACGTTTTTCTCTTGTTCATTCTGAAAAAGAGCTCGCGAAAGTATGCGCGATACCCTCGGCTATTCCGTCGCAATACTCTCTCCGTGACTCCGTTGAAAGGAAAATCCGCGGAATTTTCCCGCATCACGCTTAAATAATTATGAAGAAATTTCATTTTTTAATATTTGCGAGTTATATTCCTAACACGTCGCATCGATAAAGAAAGAGGTAGAATAAACGCGAATAGATTTCTTTGTCCTATTTTCAAACGCATTATATCTAGGTTCACACAGTTTGCTTCTACGCTTATTTACTAATTCACGCCTAGGATCGATAGTCCCAGTTGATTAAAAATTTAAAATACTAGACCTGTGTGCAAAGCACGGATCGCATTGAACATTCCTCCGAATGCCTTAAGCCTTAAAACATTAATGATTTACGTCGGTGTTTACAATTAACGAACTCGGTCTCTTTTAACGTCACATATGGTATGTATCGATAAGATAATTATCATGTACGATCTTTTGATGAAAAAATAAAATACCGAGAGGTAAAAATAAAATACAAGATAAACAAGGTGTTCCATTATTAATTGATGTTAATTTATAATTACTTATTATATCACCTTAAGACCTTAACTTTCATATTAACTTTTTGATTATTTTATTTTATTATTAGATTAATGAGTCGCTTCGGACTGAATTTAATGCGTCAAAGCGTCGTATTATTACTCATGCATGCTCATGACAACCGAGGAAATTTAAAACTCAAGCTGACAGTGAAAAATATTGCGCTGATCCACATCCGCGCGATTAATCATTCCGAACGCTCGCGGAACGATTTGACGTTTGACGCGTTGACGCGCCGATCGCGCGACTCACGATCGACCGTGTCCTTCGATCGCGAGCAATCTAGGCCGCGTCGATGCATTTATCCGATCAGCCGATCGCGTTAGTACGCGAGCGCGTAGCCAATTTATCAATAAATCCACCTGTTTAGCGACGAAAGAAATGTATCGCGATAAGTCTCCGTCGCGAGATTTCTTTCGAAACGCGCTCGGAGCTTGACGCGGGAAGAGTTGCGGGAGGGAGGAGGGGGCAACCTCGTGGGCGCAACACCACGCAACACGCCCTCCCCGGGTCCCGAATATTGACGATCGGCGATCCTTTGTCCGTTACGCGATCCATGTAAACGTCGTCCGGAGGTTCAAAGTCACGCGATGAATCACGCGCACGCGATTCGCGTTCGCTTTGACGGCGCGACGCTGTCCCGCGTCCCGCGGACGACGACGCGTTGTGGCGGCGATCACGCGCGACGCGCGGCCAGTCAATCGCAGCATCCAGCAAACGAATTCGAGAATCGAGATCGAGCAGAGACCGAGCTACTGTACTCACTGTGCGCCGCGTGGAAGAAGCCGAGTCCGCCAGTGCGACGACGAGCAGGAGACAGAACGTCGAGGCGCTGGCCATGCCTGTCGTCGCGTACTTAGTCGCGTACGCGGTACGACAACGATATACACACAAAACGCTCGCGGCTCACGCTTGTCAACGCTGACGCCGTTCGCAAACTGATATGATAGCAACGCGATCGTGACGATCGCGTGGGAAGTGTGGGAACACGCGGCTTCGCGAGCGGCAAGCGGGAAGCCACTGAAGCCAGCGCCTTCGTGGTTGCGAGGAGAATCAGGCGAAGATCAGGTGCGAAGGGTAAATCATCGCTTGCTCGATCGGTCAAATCGGCACATAAATAAAATATGTCAAAGGCGGGATCGAAGCCCCTACAAAATCCGTATAATCATATGTAAAAAAAAAAACACCTCTCCTTGTGTTTAAAAAGTTAAAAGTTGTATATTGAGATAGTATCTAATTTTATTACACATGGTTTTCTTCGTATTTGTCGCAAACTAAATTAAGTTTCTTTAAAGATACATTTGCTTCATATTATTTGTAGATAGTATAGTAAAAAGAGTGTCGAGAATTAGAACTGTGATACAATATTTTTTTTCGAAATAAAGAATGAATTTATGAAGTTTGATAATTTATAAGATGAATAATTCTCACAGACTATTTTAAATTACGAACGTAATTATGAACATATTTATAAGGGAAAGGAATATTAAGAGATGGAATAATAATAATTTTTTTAGAGATAAAGATAAATTGAACCATTAAATTTGACATTATAGAATGTAGAATTTATAATTTAATTCTTTTAAATTATGAATAGAATTAAAACATGTTTATAGATAACAGGAGTAGGTATCGAGAAATAGAAAACGGCATGACAGTAATTTATTTTTCTTTTCTCTAGACAAATAATAAATTTATTCACCAAGTTTGGCGTTATAAAACCAAGAATTTAACTTTAAAATATGAACATAATTATAAGAAAAAAATATATCCGCAAACGAAAGGAGTCATGTCGAAAGGTAAAATTGCGGTTTGGTAATAGTTTCTTTTTTTCGAGAACAAAAAATAGATTCGCGATTTAGGACTTGTCATTACGAAACCAGGAATTTTCAGGATCGACTCGTGTGCACGCTGCGTGAAATTTGCGTAATGAATTCAAATATTAGACCGGCTTCGTTACATCAATTTGGTAACGGACACTTGATCTGCTTGTCGATTTATATATATATCATTTCTTTTATTTCCTGTATGACGATGCATTAATCGATTAATCATTACCATGACTTACCTTTCCATTGATCGATGCACACGTTATTGCTGTTAACCAGCGGTTTCGTCGCCGGGTATCCTTACCTCACGCGTCTCTCGGCGAGTACGCGAGTCGCGGCATCGAAAAATTCGCCGCGTACGGCGTACTCAAGGATCATACTCACTCGATGGCCAATACTTACCTACCTTACGTCCTCCGCGCGCGGACTCTCGCGCACGCGATAACGACACACGCCGCTCTTGGGAGGATTTTTAACGTTCGGCGCGCATTGTAAATATGTAATATGAGCTGCCTTTCGCGCCGAGAGAAGGAAACTCGTACCCCATTGGCCGTCGAATTCCGCCAACGGTGGTGGAGTTACCAAGCCTCGGCACATTATCCCGCCGCGTATAGTCTCGTATACAATCCCGCTTTATGTACCTATACAAAGTGCCTTCGTCGGTGCAGGCCTTGAGACGCGTATTAAAATTCATTGTACCTGTGAAAAAATTCTCATTTCTCATATCGCCGCCGCGCCGCGGTATGTACAATACGACGTTACGCCTTGGCGGTGTCGGAAGTCGCTCGTCGCGAGACTCGCAGACTCGCGAGGCTCTTTGTGTCAAAAGATATATACCTCAATCTTAGTCCGCGAGATCTTCGACAAATTTTTACCGCGATATATCGTATTAATATTAATCAACGATCGCAAACATTCACGATCTAACAATATCGCTCATGTAGCTACCGCTCCGTTTCAAACCGGCAAGCTTTACTATGTGAAATTATAATTCCAACGAGATAATTAGAGCTATAGAGGCCTAATCGCAGATATTACTTCCTGACAGTAAGTAAGACGCGACGTATGAAAAAGCTGGCATAAAAGAAAAACCGCGTGAGACGACAGAAATACATCCGGAAAGCTTCCTTGGAATTAACGCGAGGAGAAAGGCGTTTTTCCGCGCGACGGCAGATCTCCGCGCAAGTCGCGAAACGAAGCAAAATGAAACGTAAGCGTAAGCGTAATTCGCGGCGTCGAGCTCGCGTCGTCTCGCGCGCGCGCGCGCGCCGACGATCCCGGCCCTTCTCCCTTCTATCGGCGCGACGACGACGGATCCGCGAAAAGGACCGACGCCGATCGGTTCCACTTGGGACACCGGGTACAGGCGGGGAAAGAGAACGTGCAAAAAGAACGTTAAGCGCGCAGACTGCGACCTTGACCGAAGCGGTGTCCGCGCGCGAGGCAAGGCGCGGCGCGGCGCGGCGAGGTGAGGCGAGACGAGGCGAACGTACGTGCGTCCGTCTAGCGCGCCGAGGGGTTCCATTCCCTCATTCCCTCGGCCGGTCTCGAAGCCGATTTCCTTTTCGATACGGACGACTTTTTCGAGCGCGCCTCGAGAGCCGCGGAGCTGACGAGCGGCGGAAGCCGCGCGGAAGGTATGATTTTCCCTGCGAGATGAACCTTCTATCCGATAAATGCGCGCGGATTTAATTTCATTGTCTTGTTTTATTTCCGCGTGAAAAGGGAGAAAAAGAAATAAGGGAGATGTCAAATTTATATGGAGGAAAAGTGATACTCGAGAAAACAGCCAAGTTGTTGGCGCATCGAAGATGAATGTGCATGTCGTGCATGCACTTGGCAACGGCATACTTACGCTTCGAAAAGTTGAGGAAACGCCGTGGGAGAAATTCTAATAGAGGCGTTCGCGCGCACGCACCGCGCACCGCACAGAGCGTTGCGCACGGACGTCGCGCGTCGGTTCGGTAGGATTTAATTACGGGAAGTAATTACATCGGGAGGAGAGATATAATTAATCGAATCGGTAGAGACCACGATGAGGTCTCTCGCGCGCGGTTGGCGCGATGGCTTGGCGATGTATGTAACGAAGAAAGGAAAGAGTTAACGCGCCACCTGACGAATCTGATTACGAAATTTTGATCCGAGCCAACTAATTTGCCGTAATTACTAATTAGCGAATCGAGGGAGGTTTCTCCCGTCGTTAGGGGGTCTGCGGAGGCAACCGGGAGGACCCGCGCGACGTGTCTCGGCAGCGAGAAGGGCCACAATAGCGAGTACGTTCAAGGTCAAGGTCAGTCTGGGCACTCCCCTTCGCGTCTATCGGGAGTCGCCCGACGACCGCCCCCTTCGCCCGGGCGAAGTCTGGGCCCGATTTTTCCGAGATCGGCCGCGAAGGCGAGGCGAGACAAGGCGAAGTATAAAAGCCGCACCGGCGCGGGCGGCGCGGCTCTCGAACGCACGTTCTTCGCCGACTTCGTGATACGGCGCTGAAGGTCGTCGCAGGAAGTCGAGATCCGCGGGAGAATAGAACCGTCTCGCATATACCGGGTGGCACGATCGGAAACAGGTTTCGCCGCTCTCACCTGCGCTCCCTGCGATTCGCACAACTCGCGTCCAACAAAGATTTTTCGAAAGATATTAATATGAATGGAATCCCTTCGATCTACCTTTGAAGCGTGAGTCAAGTGCGTAAGTCAAGGGCGCGTTAAGACGACTAGAAACACCATAAGAAGATGAAATCGTGCGATTTTACATAATTCCGTATAAATTCTTATTGACGAGTAACTTTTAATCCTTTTGTAAATCTTAATCTCTTTCTCTGTCGTTGGAAGTAAACATGTTGATTGCTATATATCGTCTGCCTAACTTTGTCGACTTAATTCTAGACGTAGGTTACCAAATGTCCGTCTTTCATTCTTTATTCTCGAAGGCTCGTTTAACTACATTGTATATAAGTATTCACTTTGATCAACTTAGGGGAGCGAGTGCAACAAAGTCTAAATTATTGAACGATTAGTAATTTAGCGTATACTATCTCGGAGATATACGTATAAAATATCAGAAATTTTTTTTATTTTAAAAACTTCTAAAATTTTCAACCATATTTTCACAATTTTGACATCACTTAAACTAGAAGTAAAATATGAATGTATGATTCGATCCCTCGCATTGCATCTAATGTACTCCGACACTCTTCGTCCAACTTCTTTTCATCGCGCTTGAAATCTGAACTATAGCTTTACCGAGAAGGAACAAGAGAGGCGACTCCTGTTCACATCGCACATTTAGCGCTAAACATACCTGCCTAATTGCCGGCCTGATCAACGTTATACCTTGCGACAGCGACTACTAATTGTAGCTGTTAGTCTCTCGTTTTACTGCTGGCGGCGAGAGGAAGGACACTCGATCTTGCCTGGACATGGGACGATACTCGTTGCCCTTAATAATTGCACCGAAGGGCGTTATTACGAAGGCCGATAGATCGGTCTACGCTATCAAACAGCGCGGCCCTTTAGAGCGGATTAGCAACGATCCCTCAAATGTAGACTCCCGGAATCCGTCACGGTGCGCGATACAATACCGAGTAGAGTATAGCAACCGGCACGCACGCACGCAAGCACGCACATCGGCACGCCGAGGCATCGGACGATCGGATTCGAAGGCGAGCCCGGCGCGATAATTGCACCCGGCGCGACGACCGAAAGACCTACGACTGCACTCGCCGTTGCAAATTCGCGGCGCGCTGCTCCGGCTCCGGTTCCGCGCCGCTCGTCGCTGTCGCCGCCGCCGCGCTGTTCGTCTCGTCCCGTCGCGTCGCGGTCGCTCGTCGGGACGAACGAAAAACGGAACAAAGAGTCTTGTTGCGGGCAAGCAGTACCCGCCGGTTCTCGGCCAATGAGAGGAATCGGCACGATCACCCGCCGCACCGGCCGGCTAAACGTTCGACCGGCTGCCGAGCGCCGCGCCGCGAAAAGGGACGATTGGATTCGCGAATCGTCCGCGAAATGGAGGGTAGCGTAAGGGCCCGGACACACACTTCTGCACAACGCATAATGCGTAAGCATAAGAAAATTGATTGGTCCATGCACATGTGCATAAATAGACCAATAAATTTTCTTATGCTTACGCATTATGCGTTGTGCAGAAGTGTGTGCTCCCCGCTTAAATCTCTCGCGAAGAAAAGAACGTG